TGGCAGCAACCTCTGGCCAACATTCTGGGCCAGTTAATATTTGGGGATGGCACAAAGAAACACAGGTCCCATGGTTTCCCTTATTTGCAATATCTAGTATATGTATGAGTCAAGCGGAAAAAGTCAGATAATGTGATGTTAGGAAAATGAATCCTTAGATAGGTATTTTAATGTTTTTTTTTCTTTCATGCATGTGTTTCTAACGCATTTATAACTTTATTTCTTTGTTGCTTTGTATGTCCCTCCTCCACAGTATAACCCCCGCTTTCAATATATTTGATGTCAGCATAACTTATGGAGGAGATGGGGAAAAACAAGTCATTTAAGGATTCAGGTGGACCTGTTGCAACAATGAGAAGTACAAATTGTCATGTCAAAAAGGAGCTTTACAATGTCGGTGGGGGGGAAGGGGGGGGAAGGACTGGGTGGGGGGGAGGGGGGAGGCTGGGAAGGGAGGTGAAGGGTAAACAAAGGAGGAGGCTGCAATGCTTGGTAAGAAATGTATGCATTATCTTCCCATGTAATTGTAACCCCTCTGTACAGTATGCTCACAAATAAAATAAAATTAAAAAAAAAAATTGGGGGATGGCTATGAGAAGAGCCATATACCAGAAAACCTTTCTTCCAAATCCATACACAATGGATAACACCTAAAGGAGAACTGTGATAAAGATGACAATTTTAGATCCCAGTACTTGTTTTCTAGCAGGGAAATATACCAGTAGGGAATCAGCAAAAAGCACTACCAGGAAAAAAAAGACATTGGTCAGGATTTGTATTGGCATGTAATCCAGCTGCTGTCTCCCCTACTGTTAGTGAGCAAAGCTTAAATAGTTTTACATGTTAAGATCATAGATTCTTCAACTTGATAGGTTAAAATAAGATGGCAAGGAAAATATGGTTTCAGCGCTTTGTTCTTCCATCAAGCAGTGCCTGGAGTCACCAGAGGGACCAAAGAGCCCAGAGTTCCTAGGAAAAACACATTACAAAGAACTATTTGAAGAAATGTACAGATGGACGAGGAAGGCCGGCAACGAAGAAGATGTTTCCTGTCTTTTCTAGGTATAGCCTGAATGTGAGTACTGTTTGTTTGTTTGTTTTTCTATCACTATACTTATTGCTTATTATTATAAAACCAAATGATGCACTAAAATTTAAACAGAGCATATAATTTTGAAAGAATATAATACAATCAAAATCTTAGCTGTAAAAGAAAATAAGTGTTTTTGTAAATATTCAGTAAGCTAAGACCTTAACTCATTCCACTTTTTGAAAGTAATGCAAAAGTAAGTTTTGACATTTTAAATCTTTTGAGAATAACATACAACTAAAATGAAAAGGAAGAGAGAAAACTAATGCTAGAGATGACAAAAATGAAAAGAGGCCCAAGACAAACACCGACAGCTTAAAAGTTTTGAATTTGTTTTTCGACATAGCGTCTTGTACATCTCATTGCTGCAATGGGTCAACCTGTATCCCTACTTAAACAATTATTTTTTTTCCCTTCCCCTCCATAAATTATACCAACATCAAATACAGTGAAAACAGGGGTTATACCGTAGAGGAGGGACATACAAAACAACAAAGAAATCATCTTATAAATATGTTAGAAACAATCGCAAGAAAGAAAGAAAAAAGCATTTGAATCCTTATCTTTGGGTTCATTTCACCTAACATCAACTTATCTGACCATTTCTGTTTGGCTGAGGGGGGGCTGAGATGGGAAGGGATGGGAAGGGGAAACAAAGGAGGAGGCACCAATACTTGATAAGAAATGTACTCATTATCTTGCCCATGTAATTGTAACCCCTCTGTAGGGTATTTTCACAATTTAAAAAAAAAAAGCAAAAGAAACTGGATTGTAAGGAGCCAGAAAGTTGTAAAAGAATTTAAAATAAGGCATAATAAACATTGACAGTGCCATGAATCAAATAAATAATAAAATCAAAGAGTTTTATGTTAATGAACTTGGGAGATTTAAAACAAGATAAAAATAAGAGGATTGATAAAGAAAAAATTAAAGGAAAATAAATGTGAATAACAAAAAAGATATTGAAGAAATTCAGACGACTGAATGCTATTAATTTTATTGGTTTCTCCCCCACATCCCCGCCCTGGAAGAGAAAGACTTTCTTTCAGTAAGGAATGTCTTGATGAAACTAAAGAATGAAAACCTCACTTTGAAACACAGCACAGATAGGAAGCAAGTACCATAAAACCTTATCAGTAAAAATTTGTTACCTTATTCCAGAAGCACAAGTGATCCTGGACAGGGAGAGACAGGAGAACAATGGATGACCACCTTCATTACTGGAATTATCTGGGAACATTTAAGACATATCAGTGTGTCCAGGTGTGTGTGTGTGTGTGTGTGTGTGTGTGTGTGTGTGTGTGTGTGTGTGTGTGTGTGTGTGTGTGTGTGTGTGTGTGTGATGGTAGCTCACATCTGTAATTCTAGCTACTCAGGAAGCTGGGACCTGTAGGATCATAGTCCAAAGCTTAGCCTAGGCTGGAAAGTCTGTAAGATTCCATCTCCAAAATAAATAAATAAGTAACCAGCAAAAATCCAGTTTGGATACATGGCTCAAGTGGTGGAGCATAGCCTAGCATGCAAGTTGCAACAGAGCAAAACCCTGAGTTCAAACCCTGGCCTTGCCATAGAACAATCCCCTCCCCCACCCCAAGTCCTTCTTATATGATGATTCATCTCACACCAAATAATTACAAATTTCTAACAATGAGTTCCCCGAAGTGGTTTTCAACATAGTACAGATTGGGAAACTATTCCTTTAAAGTCATACCCGCTCACATATGCCCAGGGGCTCCAGCGCCCAGCATTGAAGATATTCAAGCTTCATACATGCATCAAATTAGTCAACAATATCTTTTTAAATGTTTTATTGTAAAATACTGTACAGAGGGGTTACAGTTGCATGAGTAAGGTAATGAGTACATTTCCTATGGAGCATTGTTACCTCCTCCTTTGTTTTTCCCCTACCATCCCTTCCCTCCCCACCTCCCCAACTCCTCCCCCGCCCAAGTTGTAAAGTTCATTTTCAGCATAGTACCTTGTACATCTCATTGTTACAATGGGTCAACCTGTATCCTTATTTCGGCATTTTCAACAATATCTTGAGCAGATGCACAACTGAATATTTCAAGTTCAATGACACCCTCCCAATTTTGCAAATCCTGTAAGACTGTCCTTTTTTTAAAAAAAAAATATAAAGACATATGCATTTTTTTTTTTGTCAGTCGTGGGCCTAACTCTGGGCCTGGGCGCTGTCCTTCAGCTCTTCAGCTCAAGGCTAGCACTCTACCACTTGAGCCACAGCGCCACTTCCAATTTTTTCTGCTTATGTGGTGCTGAGGAATCGAATCCAGGGCCTCATACTTGCAAGGCAAGCACTCTACCATTGAGCCACCTACATATGCATTTTAAAATATTGTTTTTTAACATTATTCCAAACAGCTTTTAGCAGAAATTAACTTAAGACATGCAATAAGTTTAAACTACCTTACTAAAGTATCTCACCTGGTGATCATATAGGAAGCTGTCAAATCCATACTCTCATTTTCAACAGCATAAAGAAGTCTCAACAATGACTGCATTGACACACCTGGGGGGTTTCCAAGGTATCAAAGTCTAGGTGCTGTCTCACTCTTAAGAGATTGATCTGGGAAAGGCCAAAGCCATTGATATATATACATATATATATTTATATAGTATAATACATACATTACAGAGCCTCCCTAGATATTCTTATGTGCAGGTGTAATTGCAAACCACTGCACTTTCAGAGTGCCAGAAAACTCTATCTTGGAGGCTGCTATTATCTTGCCTTTTAGGACAGCCATCTTCTTTTCATCATTGTCATACACATGAATCTAGAAGCAAGGAGCCTATCAGTCAGGCTAGACATCATTTTCTGCTGAGAGATAGCACAATCCAGAGCCTTTCTTATTTAAAAGAACTCAGCTCAGAATGCCTGATAGGATGTCTAACTCAATATATTTTGTGTTTCTTCAAAGTTTTCTGCCCATCACTTGGGTCTCATGTACGTGTGGCTAGAATTATATATGTACTTATCAAATAAGAACTAACTTGGTATCTGTAATGTGCACAGAGTAATGTGTACACAACTTGCACAGGTTCTGAAAATGTACAAAGAGTAAATCTGACCCTTTGTCCAGAAAGGAGAGCCAAAGACGGCCTTCAAGGAAGGTCTTTTACTATGTGTGAGTTTCCTATGTGTGAGTTTCCTAGGCCAAGAATGGAGGCAGGGGCATTCCAGGCAGAGGAAGCTGTTCGTGCAGAAACCAGGAGGTATTATCGATTGGACCAGAGGTTGAGCGTTGCAGATGCTGGACTCTAGAGTATGTGAAAAGATTAAGTTGTAGAAACAGATCACAGATAACCTTAGCTTTGGACTTACTTTGTGATGAAAACTGTACAGAAATAATATAATGCACCTGTTTTGGAATAAAAACATTATTAGCAGAAAATCTAGTCTAGGAATAGTAGATAAGTGGAAGAAGAGAAGCTCCAAGTTAACTATAGTTTGCAAGAAAGGACACACAAAAAAGCAGAGCTGAGGAAGGAGACCAGTATGTAAGATCTCTTAAGGAGAGCTAGAAAATACAGGATTTTCACTCATAGAAAGGTATGTGTGAAATTAGAAAAGGAAAGGTTGAAAATCACCAGTATCTAAGTCATTAAAGTGACCTTAGTTTGCATATGGATTCTATTTTTCTTTCAGTATATGCATTCAATCACTCCAAAACCACTTATAGAATATGTCTTTTATTTTCTGCCACATCTGTCAAGTTCCCACATTTATGTGGCTGTTAATGGACAGTTTGTTCTGTTGATGGATGTGTTTGTCTTGTGTATCTACTATTCTTCCTTAACTACTCAAGTAATTACTACACTGCTTTAAGTAAGGTACTTTCCAATGAGCTTGCTGGTATTAGATCTGTAACTCCTCATTCAGAAGTCTTTGGTTTCATTTTCATGTAAATTTTGAAATTGGATTTTCAGTTAACATAAAAATTCCCTGGACAGATTTAAGATAGGATAACACTGAATGCAAATTTATTGTGTAGAACAGGCCATCTTGAAAATGTTCAAATTTCTAAGTCATGAATGTGATATAATACAGAAATATATAATGTTGCATATATGTGTAATCATATATACTATTAATAAGCATATATATGTATAATATATAACATACATAATATTGATGTATTATAATATAAATAACATTAATATAAAATAGCATATAAATATGCCATATTTATTATTATATGTTACATTTATTCTATTTATCATATATCATAATGTAAAATATAAATACATTATAATACATTGATATATAATATAATTACTATAAACAATTATCATATTATTACATATAATTATTATACTGCTTCTATAATATGTACTATTATAATGTATGATATATAATTTATGATTAATGGTAATATATGATTATATAATTTTATAAATATTATATTTGTTCCTGATGATTGTTTTATACTTTTATGATATTTGCAGATTACTCATTTTCTTCTAAGACACTTGACGAAATATTTTCAAAAGGTACTTGAAATAGAATATTTTCTTCAACATGAAAATTGTCTTTTGTCTTTAGCAATTATACACATTCCAACACCAGGACCAGCAGCCCAGGATCACCCTGTTTCAAGACCGGCAACCACATCATATATCATATCATATCATACCACATATCATATCTTCAAGTTCAAAAAATTTTATGCAAATAGAATCATCTACTACCTATTCCTTGGTCTAGCTTATTTTACTCAACTCTGTTGTTGACTCTTCTCTTAGTTTTCCAGCAATACCTGATATATCTAACTCATAAAAGAATAATACTAGCCTGGCGCTGGTGGCTCACACCTGTAATCCTAGCTACTCAAGAGATCTGAGGATCGTGGTTCAAAGCAAGACCTGGCAGGAAAGTCTGTGATAGTCTTACCTCCAATAAACCACCAAAAAACCCAAAGTGGCGCAATGGCCCAAGTGGTAGAGTGCTAGCCTTGAGCTGAAGAGCTCAGGGACAGCACCCAGGCCCAAAGTTCAAGCCCCACAACCAAAAAAACACCAACCAAACAACAAAACAACAACAAAAAACACTTCATTGGTGGATTGGCTTAGATTTCAGCCCATGATCACATGACACCATTGCTTTGGGCCTCTGATGGGGATGCTGACGACAATGGCAGGGAAAACAGAGTGGAGAAAAACTCAATTTATCCTGAACCCCAGAAGTCAAGTACACAGAAATTAGGGTCCTTTAATTCCCCTCCAGAACATGCTCCCTGGGACTCATTAACTTGCCAACAGGCCCATCTCACCAACAATTTCCACTACCTCCCTATAGCTCCACCCTAGGACCAAAACTTTATCCGCTGGGACACAGCCTCCCAAACCAGCAAAATCAGTTTGCTTTGTTGCTGGAGATTTTTCCGTTGTGTTGATATACCATGATTTGTTTACCACTCAACAAAGCATTTGGTACACTGGCCTCATCCAGCATAAGTTACAACTAAGACTTTGCTGTCTGAGACCATTGTAAAAAAACTATCTTTTTCTTTTTCTTTTTTTTTATACTGGTGGAAACTCCAGAAGAATGATCAAAAGAATTAATAATAGTCATAATATTTTTAATTTTCATGGGGAAAGCTGCTCAACATTTTAGCATTACATATGAATGATTTTTTGTACTCAATTTCTACTCTAGACTTTTTATTGACTTATATATTGTTTATGAAATCTAAAAATCAAATTTTAACAGTCCTGAATTTTTCAAATGCTGTTGTCATGTATTAAAATGATTATATATTTTCTCTCCCTTTTTTATTTTAATGCAATTAAACAAATAGACTATTTTAAAATATTGAACCAGCTCTGTTTACACCGCATTAATCCAATTTGTAGTACTTTTATGAACCACTGGACTTTATGGATGCCATTTTGTTGAGAATTTTTACATTTACATTCACTTAAGATACTCATCTTTATTTTTTCTTCCTGGTAAAGCTTGTTAAATTTTGGAGTCAAGGTTATGCTGCCCTCATAAAATTAGTTGAAAAATATTTTTCTTTGTTTTGTTTGTATACTGGATGAGTTTGAGTTATTTTTTCCCCTAAATGTTATCAGTTATCAAGGCAACCATCTGTGCCTGGTGTTTTGTTTGGAGAAGGTTTTAATTACAGACTCAATTTCTTTAGTAGACATGGGACAAGTTAGATTTTCTCTTTGTTTCTGTATCAATTTCCACAGCTTGTGTTTCTCTAGGTGTTTTCTTACTTCACTTTATTTTTAACATCGCTGATACAAAGTTGTTGAGTGTCATTTCTTGTTTATATTTCTAATGTGATATCTACCCCTTTCCTTCTGATACTGGTTATTTACCTCTCCCTCTCTTGTCTTGATCAGACTTGTTAAGTACTCATAAAATCTTAGGCTATGTTGAGTCTCTGATATACACCACATCTCCCTTTTATTAACTCTCATTGATATTTGCTGTGTGCAGTGTGCTCCTTTGCTTTTACAGCTGAGGAAGCAAGAATATTAGTAATTTTCTGCAGGTATACTATGCATTCATAAAACCACTTCCACCCCTAATCCATTACCATGTGCTTCTACTAGCCTTTGTCCTTTATTTATTCCTTATTTCCAATTGAGAGATTCTATAACTTAGTATTCTCTCTAATTCTGAATTTTGCTTCTACTAACATTTCTATAATCCATGTGGATGTTTTTTATTAGTGTTAGCTTGCAAACTTTCTCCATTGCTTTATTTTTAACACAAATGTCTATATTTAATGTGAGTTTCATATAGACAACATATAATTCAGTCTTATTCTGGAATCTACAATGAAAATCTCTGTTTTTCCATGCTTTAAATCATTCCTTTTAGTCTTCATAATTAGGAACAGCCTAATTCACCAAAATATTGATTATACCACCTTCTCAGAGTGAAACTTTTACGTTTCTATTTTTCTCTATTTATTCATAATCTCTTTATTTAAGTGATTTGGAAATAATATTTATATAAAAACATCAAAATAGTATAACAAGAAAAAGACAGATATAATAAGAACTGGATAGAGATTAAATGCTTAATATATTAAAATATGATGTGCTTTATATTGTAATTTTTGTTTTCATTATAATAATACCAAAACCACTTCTATGGAAACAAGCTGTTTTGAATGCAGTCATTTAAAAAATCATAGTTTACTACTTCATGATACCTCAATTAACCTCTGCAGTTTATGTAATAATAGGTAAAGTGACATCAAGGAATGTAGATACATTGGCTATGTTTGCAGTAAACATTAGCTATATTTACTGAATAATAACAGCCCAAATCGTCACCTTTAAATTCTGACAACTTTGTTTGCTAAAGTTCAGTTCTTTCTTTCATTATGTCAGCCCGATGTTCTTGAGTACCAGTTAGAGCCACCACTCATAAAAAACTCTTGATATTTTGAAAAACAAGCCAGAGGTAGTGGTGTCTGATTGTAATTCCAGCACCTGCAAAGCTGATGCTGGAAACTGTGAGCTTGAGACAAGTGTAAGTACGAAGATAAACCTTGTCTCAAAAACTAAGACAGACATAGTAAATGACATACAGAAGCCCCACCAGGAACTCCACCAGCAACTCCGCTTCTAAAAGTTAACTCCTTAGCTGCTTTCACACAAGTGATAATGATACATATACGCAGTACACACTTCATCCATATTACTTGTGATGGTAGAAAGTGGAAAGAGACCCAATGTGCATGGTAGAAAATTGGCTAGGCAGTGTTTATTCCTGGCTCATTCACCTACAATTGCAGTAAAGAGTGATAGTGCTCCACACAGATCCTCTTAAATCCTTTGGAAGGTCTATGCATGTATCCTCCAGCTCCTCTCTGCTTTTCTCTTAAAGGTATGCACCTGTGAACTCCTTCAGAACACTTGGGGCCTATAGGAGCTTCGTTACACTAATAGAAAAGTGGAAGTGTTGAGAGTTTATCTCCCCAGGGTAGCATGGCCATGACTGACTGAACCAGATTATGAAAATCCAGATCTATCACATTGAAGTTGGACAAATTTGGTGCAATTTGCGTTCAATAGGCCCCTGTGACAAGGTTATTAAAGTTGAGCATTGTTTGGCTTCTCATCCTGTTTCCTGTTTCTTCCCCTACCTTTGCATCTGTACCTGAGGGACATTTTGTTAATACAGCATTTGCACAAGCAAACCTGCCTTTTGGAGGTCTTCCTCTGAGAAATCTAAGATGCTTCAGATAATGTTGAGTAAATACCTACTATGTTAAATTGCAGCATGAAGGTATGATACAGTTTTTATAGGGAGTAATAGGAGATATAGGTTTTCACGAACACAGGTCACTAGCACATGGTTAGCATCCACAAAATCTTACTGATTTGGTAAAGTAAAAGCTTTTGAGCTTGAATATGAATCATGCTTTATTTTGCTCCAAATGATTAGTCATCCAGAGTCTCTGACCTGTTCTATAATAACAAGTAGTTCCTTGTATTACGTTACCTTGAAGGTATTGACACAAAATATAAATACGCATAATATGTGCCTTTCAAGGTAAAGATGATATTTTAAAAGGAAGAAAACAACTCATGAAACAGAAAGATAATGGTTTAAAAAACATAGTGCAAATATTTTTATTATGTGTAAAGTAATGTTAAGATACTTCACAGAAAACCTTTCACAGCAGAGAAGTTTGGAACCAAACTCCTATAGAATTTCAGTAGCTCATTAATTTCATTTCTTAGGAACATCAATTATTAGAATGAGAATGGCAAAAGGAAAATGTTTTGACAGCCAGTTGGCTCTTTGCTCTGCTAATACTGTGCACCATTATAGTATTAATTACATTAAATGTCTGCAGTGTGGGCGGGGAGAATTGGTTCTGAACATAGTAGGACAACTCTGGGATATAACACTATGAATCTGCAAATA